TTTTGGGGGGACTGGTAGGAAAGAAATACTAAGGGACAGAGACATGAACAAAAGCTTAGCACTGGGAATGGGGAGCTGAGAAGGGCACCCCAGAAGTACAGAGAGAAGTGCTCGGGGCTGTAGTAGTTTACTGTGTGCTCAGTTCAGACCCTGAGTTAGAGGCCCAGGACAACACACTGTCCCCACCTAAGGGTGACTGAGCCCTAGCCTCAGCAGTCCATGGCCTGCCTGTCTTTGAGCCCTAAGGCTTAATGGCTTCTGCTTTTCTCCCAGGAACCTAAGGAATTTTTCTGTCCCTTGGTTTCCCTTCCCCAAACCCAGAGACATCTAAAAGATACACAGTCCTGATAGAGAAACCCAACCACCCCAAAAATCACCAGATCAGATCAGGGGTCCAAGGGAATTTCTTGAGCCCAGTGTCTTCTGTCCTCAGCCTTTGGTCCAGGCTTGATGGCTGAGCTGCCCCTCTTGGAACAGGAAGCCGTGTCCTATTGCCTCATTTCTTTGAGCCACCAAGACCCTAGCCCTCTGCAGAGCCTCAAGAGGACACCTAAAGGTTAAAGGGTTTCTGATACAGGCCACAGAAAGCTTTGGAAAGAAGAACTCCCTGGCCAAGGGTGCACGCAAGTCAGGGGAAACAGCTAGAATTGGCTGGTGTTCACCCTGCCCAGAATGCAGATTCACAGGCACCTAGAGGGAAAAGGCACACAGGTCTGCTTGGGTAGGCTCTAGGCTCAAGTTACCTTAGCCTCTTTGAGGCCAGAACCTGGGAGGAGCCAGGAGTTCTAGAAGTGTCGCTTTAACCCTTCCCTCTCAGGAATCTGGACTTCGGGGCCCTCTCACTGACAGGGCATGGGTTCAAAAGGTTGAGGAGTCTGGATCTAGTCAGGACTCTTCATTGGGTAAGTGTGGAGACAGGCAGGGTGAGGGAATGAGATAGCCTGTTAGGGAAGGCTTCTTGGAGGGAGACATAGGAAGGGGGTGGTAAGGAACTGAAGGGAGCATGTAGGTAGTGAGACCCACATGATTAGAGCTCTAATGCAGGAATGGAATGTGAGTTCAGAGCGTGGACCCCAGCCATGATCCAGCTGGGCTGGGCTAGGGGGATCAAATTAGGATTTGCCTCCCATGCCTTGGCCTCTGGTCTTTGTATCTTGTCCCCACTTCCCCCCTGCTCTTAGCTACAGTTGCTAAGTTTAGTGCTCTTTTTAGCACAAAGTCTTAGTCTCAGTCTTGAGAGAGGACTGGGAGCCCCACCTCACCCCAGGAGAAGGCAGCCAAGGGGGTGAAAGTTGAGCAGGGCAGGCAGCTATACTGAGCCCTCACTTGTCTCTGAAACAGCAATCTGTTGGCAAGCCCACTAGCCAGTCAGAACCAGGTGGCTGTTAACTTGCAGTTTTCAGCTCTGGAAAGTTTTGCTTCCAGCTCCTGAGTTAGTGTTTATGTCACTTAGGGGAGCTGCTCTGGAAAAGAACAGAAGTTCAGCCCTGATGCCAGGCCCATGGCTCACTGGGTGGGGCTCAGTGAAGTGGGGAGAGCCTGGCCAGGCCTGGCCTAGCACTGGGCACGCCTTGGGGAGGTGCTTTACCCCACTTCTTCTCTGCCTGGTGTGAGGTCTAACAGCAAGGCTTCATTTTGCTCTCTGCAGCTGGTGTTGGCTCTGGCTCCAGCTTAGCACCTGTGTTTTGCAAGATGTTGTACCTGACCAGAGCCTTGATCTCATCTGAATTTTATTTCTCAACTTTATTATAGTAAACCTGAGATAGGAAGGCCAAACAGAAGTTCTTAGCTCTCTTTGGTAGCAAAGATACTGAGACCCAGAGAGAGAAAGTGTCTTGGCCTCGAGTAAGTGGGGAAGTTGGGCTGGGCCACAGACCAATGTTTCTTCTATTCTGCCCCACGGCCTCCCCTGTGAAAAAGTCCCAGGGGTAAGTGGGGGCACCTACCCTACCACCCTCTTGAGAACATGTGGCCATTTCAGGGGGATCCATCTGGAAACCCAAATCAAAGTGTCTCAGAGAAGATGCATCACAGAAACGTGACCAAAAAGGGAACCACAGCCAGGATAAGTCCCTGGGTTACAGAGAGCCGCCTCTAGCATTATCTGCGCCTCCTGACCGGTTTCAGATGGGGAAAACAAGGCCCAAAGAGAGACTGACTTGCCCAGAGCCAGGACTAGAACCAGTTCCCCATCCAGGGTTAGCCTCTTGATTTGAGGAGCCCAGGAAGCCCCAAACTTTCCTTCCACCACTGTTCCTTGCCCATTCCATGATGCTGTATTTTCACCCCAGCAGAGTTCTGCCTTTGGCATTAAAGGCTTCTTTGAGACACATCTGTCTCAAATAATAGGCTGGAAGGCATGTTCACCCTCATGGCTTGGGTGCCCAGGTGCCCAGAAAAGAGCAGGTTCTCATTTGAAAGTCGGAGAATTTAATGGTACAGCTGGGCGAGTTTAATGGGGCAATTGAAAAGCCCCTGGCCTGTTACCATGCTTACCTAGAACCCTGGAAAAGCCAGTTCTGTCCTTCAACCCAGGACAATAGTCATCCCCCACCCCCAGATCCCACAGAGAAATATGGTCAGTTTCTCCCCAGACATTTAGGAACTTTCCTCAGCAAGCATCAGTGCCTCTCTCTGGGTTTGTCTTCTGCTCTCTACTTACAGTTCTACCAGGCCCATCCCCACTGCATTCCCAGCAAAGAAATTCCTTCCTCGAGGTAAGCTTCTACCTTCATGGTTTTTCAAGTGTCTCTTCAAAGTATCCCTCAGGGATGTCACCCCATATATGACACCCACTGTCTAGACTCCAGGGTCCCTACAGCCCCTTAGTCTGATGATCCTGCTTCCATATGGGTTCCTCCTGCCTCCCCACGAAGCCTGAAGCTCCTGCAAATCCCAGGCTGTGGTGACAACTTACTCGTGCCCCTAGGGCTCCAGCAAGAGCATGGGAATATTTCAGAACAGCAGTTAGTACATTCTGCTCTACTTAGCCCCTCAAGGGTTGTGTGAAGAAAGAACCTTTGTTACTAGTCAAAATGTTTTTTAGACCCTGTTGAAGTCAACAAAAGCCAAATGCTGCTGAGCATGTGTTCTGTCCTTCCACACTCCTTCCCAACCCTGTACACAGAGCCAAGCCCTGGTCCCTGGGCCTGGGCCATACAGATAAGGCCCCCTGAGTCGCTGGGTCTGGGTGTGGGTGCTGGGAAGGTGGCTGAACCAGCCACACTAGTTTCTTTTCCAGAGCAGTTGGCCCAGCCAGCAAGTGCAGGCCTGTGCTCATGCTGTTCCCTCCAATGGAAGACCTCATGCCCTCCCCCAGTTCTGCTAAAACCCTGCCCATCTCAGATTCCCCCTCTGTGTGAAGAGTCCCCTGACTTTCCCAGCTGTTAGTCATTGCACTCTCTCCGTGCTCCCAAGTTCTAGGCCTCATCTCTATGATTATTGCGTAGGTCGGCATCTGTTTTCCATCTAGCTGAGCAGCCCCTGGAGACAGGAACCATAGCTACCCAAGAATTGATCAGGTTGAACAGATCTTAGGCTTCTGAAAGGTTTGGTGAATCACCAACAAATGTATCTTGATTGTCATTTCATGAACTAAGGTACTTGGCCCTTCCAATCATGGAGAGCAAGACCTATCAAAGCCTCTCCAAAACAGAGAATGCTTCTCCTCTGTCAGAGGACACAGAGGCCTGGTTTTAGGATGAGAGAGAGAGGACCAGTATCTCTCTGGACCCCTTTCACTGTAGCAGAGAACGAAATGGAAATTAAGGTACAGCTGGTGACTCAGAAGCTCCATCTGCAGTACAACCTAGATGACTGGAATGGGCCTTGATGTCACTCCTAAATCCTAAATAGCTCAAGAAACAACAATCTTGAGTCTTGGGAGCAGAGAGATGTATGCTGAGGCTTCAAATGCTGCAGAAAGGATTTGACTCGACTAAAGACTTGGCACATAGTAGGCTGTAACAACCGTGGGTTCCAGAATGAATGGATAAAAGATGTTTTCTCCCAGAGGCAGTCTCCTCCACACCCAGTTTAAGCCTCTGGTTGCTGTGGCTTGGTCCCACCCATTCACTGATCTAGCAACTACCAGGCTCCTATCTTGAGAGAGGACTGGGAGCCCCACCTCACCCCAGGAGAAGTACAGTTTGAGTCATAAGCATCAGATTCAGTCCTAACCCTTAGGAGCACTCAGTCTGGAAGAAGAAAGTAACAGACAGTGGCTGGGCAACTGGCCTCCCCTGGCCTGAGGCATTATGGGATGCAGATGCCTTCCATATTTTGGAGAGAACAAATGCATACACTAACAAAGGTTGGTTGGTTTCCTTTTTCTCCTTATAGCTTGGCCCTGCCTGGAAGACAGTCATAACTTCTAGTCTCTGTTCAGCCCCTAGCACCACGTGCTCTTGGTTCTCAGGAAATCCTTCCTATGGGCTGTTAGACCTGAGAACTTACTCAGGTTTTATGCACTCCCTTGACCATTTGAATTCCAGATTGGCAAGGACCCTCAAGGTTATCCATCTCGCCCTTTTCCATGGGTGGGAAACTGAAACCCAGGCAGGAAAATGAGGATGCCCGACTTCCACTCCCCTTATATGTGGCTGCTATTCTAATTCTTTCAGCAGATCTCTCTGTCTCCCCTGCTTAACTCTGAGCTGTGGAGGTCAAGAAATAAGTTCTGTTCCTTTCTGTCTTTCTGTCATGGTAGGCATTATGAATAGGTTAAAGAAATGAAGGAAAGCCCAGTTGGTGTGACTCAGTGGTTGAGTGTCAACCTATGCACCAAGAGGTCGCTGGTTCAATCCCTAATCAGGGCACATGCCAGGGCTGCAGTCTTGGTCCCCGGTAGGGGGCGTGCAGGAGACAGCCAATCAATGTTGTTTCTCTCTCATCCATGTTTCTGTCTCTCTCTCTCCCTCTCCCTTACTCTCTCTAAAAATTTAATTTAAAAAAAAGAAGAAAAGAAGTGAAGGAAAGAAGGATTACTAAATGTTACTGACCCCAGAAGCAGCTGCAGTTGGGCCTAGTTTCCCATCAGCAGCAGAACTGCAGGAGTGGGGGAGGTAGTCTCTGTCTCTCTCTAGGGTCTTCACCAAGCTGCTTGAGGTACAGGTGTGCTCAATGCTCCTGCAGCTAGTGAAGATCTCAGCTCCTGGGGTTTGAGGACAGGGAAGAGATGTCCATCCACAGGGAAGGCTTCATGCTGTGAAGTCAGCCAAGTTTGTATGTGGTGGCGACTCCCATCTCCTTTTAGTACTGCTTCTTCTGCCAGGCCTCCATCTCTTCCCCAGGGCCTTGCTCTCAGCCTGGGGTAACTTTTCTGTATAGCTTTGAGCTCCTTCAGAACAAGAACCTGGCATAGACTAAACACCAAAAAAAAGACTGAGTGCCCTGGTCAGTTTGGCTCAGCGGTTAGAGCATTGGCCCGCGAACCACAGAGACCCGGGTTCAGTTCCCATTAAGGGCACATACCTCGGTTGCTGTTCGTCCCCGGCCCCAGCTGGGGTTGTACGGATGGCAACCAATCGATATGTCTCTCTCACATCGATGTTTCTCTCTCTTCCTTCTACCCTGTCTGAAGATAAATGCAAAAATATCCTCGGGTGAGGATAAAAAGAAAAAAAGACTGAGCAAATGAGTGAGTCATAGAGGAGTCCAGAAGACCACAGCAGACTAACTCAAATGCAAGCACCTTAAAGGTGGAATTGGTGATAACCTGTCAGCTCAAGGAGGGGAGATGTTTGATAGCAGGGCCATGAGTATGTGCTTCATGTCACCTGGCAGCTTCAGGAACTCCAAAGGGCCAACAGAGTTTATTCACCTCATCTTCTCCCTGGAAGTTGGATCTATTTCCAGGGACAGAAACAACTCAGTGGACAAATGACTTGTCTAGATTCATGCAGCAACAGAATAGATGAGGCTTCAAACCCATCCTGGAGATGACTGCCCCTTCTCCAGAGGCCTAGAAAGAGTCTGAGCTGGTTCACATCTTAGCTCTGCTACTTCGAGCTGTGGGACCTTGAGTTTATTTCACTTGAACTGTAGTTTCCTCACCCATGACTTGGGAATGGTACCCACCTATGGGTTGAGGTAAGGATTAAGCAAGATCAGGTATGTAAAGTGCTCTGTAAACCGGTAAGCTCTGCATCACTATTAGCCAAAGGACCAAAAGATGAGAGGAATTAAATCCATCTTGGCAGTGCCGTTTCTTCAGTGCTAACCTAGCTGACTTCCTCTCCAGGACAAGAGCGAAACCACTGGAAGAGCCCTGTCCCAAAGGCCTTGTCGCCCGAGACCTAACTCGCTGCCTCCCAACCTGCCTGAAGAAGAAACTCGCAGGATTGCACGGATATTTTCTTCCCAGTGCTCCCAGAAAGAATAATGCAGCCTGAGAGACTGAAGGAAGGACCCACCTGCCCACCATCCCTTAGCCTTGTCCAGCTTGCAGGAGGTGCCAGTTCTGCTTCCCTCAGGGCTGCCAGAGTCCGGAAACCACCACCAGCCTAGTACATGGGCACCACAAGACCCCGTCAGCATAGATGGTGAGAGCATCCCAAACCAGCCCCATGTTCACCTGCAAGGCCTTCGGCTTCTTCCTTCTATAGTGAGGCGAAGGTTAGAAACAAAATGGATTCCCGCAACAAACTGGCCCACCTATATTTTGAAGGTACCCAAGCAGGCATCTTTTGGCTGAGAAAATTCCCCCAATGTCCTTGACACAGTGTACTGCTGACGTGAGTTTATCCTCTACCCGACTATGATGGACCATTTCTGCCTTAAAGGTTTGAGAGGGAGGTGTAGAGTATATGCATCATGCATAACTGAGGAGATGCTACAGCCACCTTCAGTTCATTTGCTTGGGAATAGGGTATTTTATAAATATAAATTATTTATATGCCATGTTGAATTAATCATAGGAGAGGAGGGGGAAATTACCTCCTTCAAACATTTTATCTGACTGTCTGAAAATTCTAACCATGCTTTTAACTTATTGTTTTTACCCAGCTTTGAAGGTCATTGTTCCTGCCTGTGTTTGAATAAAATCATATTGGTATTTGTATTCCGTGCACGAGTATTTCCTGGGTTGGCCACTGAACAGGGTTGTTAGGAATTCATTTGTGTTCTAACAGCCAGCGATAAAACTTGACCACCATACAGTCCCTTAGAAGCTCATCTGAAACCAGGGGCCAGAGTCACCATGAGACTTCTGAGCTCCCCAAAGATCAGGTTGATCCAGATTAGGGTAACACCCATTATTTCTTTGCTGGTGCCTCAAATCCGTCAGTAAAGTAAAGGGAGTTTCCTGCAACAACTCTTCTCAGAATCCCCCATCTCTCTGGGATGGGAGGCCCTGGCTTAGACTGTCGGACCTCAAACATTTGAGTAACTACTGTAGACAAGGCCTGTGGGGAAGGTCAGGGCAAGGTGTGCAGAGTGGCTGTGAGAGGTTGAAAGGAAGCTACATGGAGGCCCTGCTTTCCACCCCCAAGCACAGGTCATTTCACTTAGTCCAAATAAACAACCCTATAGCCTATATTAGGATTCCTTTTTAATAGTTCACTGAAGCTCAGTGAAGTGAATTTGCCTCTGTTGATGTAGCTAGGAGTGAATCACCACACAAGACATCGCCAGAGATGTTTCAAGGCTTCTGCACTCAGTGACCAAAACAGGATATAGCCAGTAAGTGCTGTGAATTCAGGGAGTGTACGGGGAAAGACCTGTGGGCTGGAGCAGTCGGGGAAGGCTTCCTAGAAGAGATAAGTCGAGGTGAGCCCAGAGAGAGAACCAAGCGGGTACTCAGGCCGTATGCACCTGGGGTAGAGAAGAGATTGGTCTGTCTCTGCCACTTCCCCAGTAGGTCCCCTCCAGCTTGACTCTCCAACCTTCTGAGCCTCTTTCCTCATCTGTAAAATGGGGTGATAACCCCAGCTTCATAGGGTTATTGTGAAGATGAAATAGAGATGACATTTGTGAAAGTGCTTCGCCTGCAAGTGGCACTTAGTGGAAGCTTAGGAAATGTCAGCCCCGCCCACACCTCCCCTCTTATCTGGAGCAAATCAGTAGATAGGCAAGCACACTAATAACTGAGACAGGCAGGACATGCCCTCAGGGTGCAGGTGATGCAGGAACCCCAGGGTGCCCTCATCAGTGAAGTGCCCTCAGACCAGCCTGCCCTTGATCTGTTCATCTCAGCCTCCTAGCCTGCCAGCTCATGCCCTCCCCAGAGCCTTCCTCTCAGATCACCAGCCCAGAATTTTAAGACCTGGGGCTCTACCTCCTTCGAGGTCACTAAGAACCTACAGTGGAGCGGTCAGGGGCCCAGGCCTGAGGGGTTAAGCAAGTGAATATTCCTTCTAAATCCTCTTCAGGTCCTGTAAATAGCCTGATCGGGTTGAGTTAGGATAAGGCCACGGGAGGACACCAGCTGCTTCTATCCAGGCTGAAGGCAGCCTCCATGACACAAAGTCATCCTGAGGGTCTGAAACCCACTGCATCCCCGGAAGTTGGGTCTGTTTCCCAGCAACAGGTCAGAAGTGAAATGCCTTGCAGGTCATGCAGTATGATGTACATGTTCCCACCACGACCAACAGAGCTAGTCACTGTCTCCCCCACTTCCCTTTGAGCACTCCCTTTGAGAAGACCTGAAAAGGGGTGTTTCTGTTCACTCACAGGTTTGTTGATCCCAGCTCATAGCAGCCAACCTTGGGACCTCTAGAGCAGGCAGGTTTCTGGGAACAGGAAACCAAAGTGGACAGACCTAGCCCCATCAAGAAGCTCCCAGGCCAATGTAAGCTGAGCTGACCTTCCTGCCCTCTGGGTTTCTCCAGGGTCTGCTGCCCCCTTGTTTGGCTTCCTACTGTTTATCCCTCCCCATATACAGTACCCACGGCAACTCACCCACCACCTCCAGGCCAGCACTTTCAGGTAGGGCCCAGAACCTACTTCCTGAGCCCTCCCAACCTCAACAGCCCTTCTCTCACAACACTAACATAGCTGCCTGTTCTGCTGACATGAGCAGGGCCTGGTTCAGGAGAACAGGCTTCATACCTGAGCATCTGGCTTGTGACCACCTGCCTCGTGGCCATGGCTCTGTGCCCTAATCCAGCACTGGCCTCAGCCTACCCCTCTGCCCAACCCAATTAATTCTCTTCCCTTCCCAACCCTCTCTCCTCTCTTCCCCTGCCCTCTTCTGCCCTGATCCCTTCCCCTTCTCTACTCTTCACTGTCATCTGGGTTCCAGGTTCTGATGTGCCCTACCCTTACCCTCAGTGTCTGCCCTGCAATAGCTGCTGCAGGGGACCCTTTCCACCCTGCCCCATACATTCTCCCAGCTCCCTTGGCTCCAGCAGTGTCCATGCTGGAGCCTCCAAGTGTTATGTCATCAACAACAGTTGTCATCCAAATTACATTATAATTTGCAGGCTAGAGTTGGACTCTGCCTCGTACTAGCTGTGTGACCTGTGTAAGTCATTGTCTCTCCCTGAGACTCAGCTTTCTCCTCTATAAAATAAGCATTACAAATGTTAGGATCCCTAGTCATAGAAAAGAATGAACACAGATGAACTTTAAAAACACGATGCTATGCCCTGGCTGGTTTGGCTTAGCGGTTAGAGCATCGGCCCGTGGACCAGAGAGTCCCGGGTTCAGTTCCCGCTAAGAGCATGTACCTCGGTTCCAGTTTGTGCCCAGCCTTGGTTGGGGTTGTGTGGGTGGCAGCCACTCTATGTGTCTCTCTCACATCAATGTTTCTCTCTCTCTCTTCCCCCCTCTCCTTCCCACTCTGTCTGAAGATAAATGCAAAAAAGACCTCTGGTAAAGATTAAATAAATAAATAAATAAATAAATAAATAAATAAATAAATAATAAAAACATGATGCTAGCCAGGCAGGTGTGGCTCAGTGGTTGAGCATTGACCCATGCACCAAAAGGTCACCGGTTTGATTTCCCGGTCAAGGAACGCCCCTAGGTTGTGGGCCTGATCCCCAGTGGGGGTCATGCAGGAGGTGGCCAATCGATGTTCTCTCTCATCCATATGTCTCTCTCTCCCTCTCCCTTCCTCCCTCTCTCTCTAAAATCAGTAAAAAGAAAAAGTATAAATAAAATAAAAGCACTGTGCTAGTCCTAACCAGTTTGGCTCAGTAGTTAGAGCACCAGCCTGCAGGGACTGAAGAGTCACGGGTTCGATTCCAGTCAAGGGCACATGTCTTGGTTGTGGTTTGGTCCCCAGCCCTGGTGGGGGTTGTGCGGGAGGTGGCCAGTTCATGTGTCTCACATCGATGTGTGTGTGTGTCTCTCTCCCACTGTATCTGAAGATAAATGGAAAAATGTCCTCTGGTGAGGATTTAAAAAACAACAACATGCCCTGGCCAGTTTGACTCAATGGTTAGAGCATTGGCCTGCGGACCAGAGAGTCCCGGGTTCATTTCCCTCTAAGGGCGCGTACCTCCGTTGCAGTTTGTTTCTGGCCCCAGTTGGGGTCATGTGGGTGGCAGCCACTCGATGTGTCTCTCACGTTGATGTTTCTCTCTCTCTCTTCCCCCCCTCTCTCCCTCCTCCTCTATCTGAAGATAAATGCAAAAAAATGTCTTCGGGAGAGGATAGAAAACAAAAAAAAACCCTATACTAAGTGAAAGAAGCCAGTCACAGAGTATGTCACATAGTGTATAATTCTGTTTGTATGAAATATTCAGAACAAGCAAATCTATAGAGACAGAAAGTCAATTATTGATTGCCTGGGGCTGGGGGGGAAGGGAAGTGACTGCTGATGTGTAGGGGGATGTTTTTGAGGAGTCATGAAAATGTTCTAAAATTGATTGTGATGTTTGATGGTGGTATACTATGAATATACTAAAAACATTCAATTGTACCCTTTAAACAGGTAAATACTGTATGAATTATATCTCAATAAAGCTGTGGGGTTTTTTTTACTTAGAATCCTATTAATACCTACCTCATAGGGCTGTAAGAAATAGAAATAATGTATGTAAAGCTCATAGTAGGAACCAAGAAGTGAGAATCGTTATCATTGTTATTATTTAGAGGAGGCCCGGGAGAGCCCTTCCCAGCCTTGACCTTTGGACTTACATAGTGACAGGTCCAACCACACACACACACACACACACACACACACACACATATACCCTTATCACCTGAGGTAGCTCTTTTTTCAGTAGTTGAAAGGAGCTATTTTAAAGAACCTCAAGTCAAAAGAACTGAACCAGATCTAGAACTCTGACCTCCTCCCTCACCTCCCCGCCCCTCACCAACAGCCTCTTGTCAAGTGATCAGGCTGTCAACTAGCGTTTCCAGGGTAAGGTTTCAGGTCAGCTGGAGTGTATAAAGATAGGTGCTAAGCCGGAGACAGCAGAGACAACAGTGAATGGCAAGGGAGCATTCAGATTCCTGCTGCTACCTCCTGGGACAGAGCCCTAAGGAACCTTAAGGAGGTTCTGAGCTGCCCCTACCCCATCTGGACTCACAGGTGAGACCCCATTCTCTACCCCACCGCCTCCACATTCTCCCCTTCGTGGCAACTTATGGAGAGCAGCCAGGAACCGGCAGGGGTCACTACCATAGCATGGCAGAGCTGACAGGGATTTAGTCAAGCCCCCACCTTGTCAAGATGAGGGAACTGCATCCCAGATGAGAGCGCTGTCACAGGGCTGGGACCCAACCCCACCACCATGTCACTCACCCAGGACTCCTTCCTCTGCTGGCTGCCTGCCTCTGCTGTGATTTTGCACATCCCCGTAGATAAGAAGTGGCTTTCTCCTTAATCTGGCCCAGAATCCCTCCAGGATTCCTCCAGAGCATCATGTCCTCTCCCCATGGGGGCCCTGTGGAACCCCTTTCCTGAATATGGATCATGGAGGCATGTCTGGCGTGAGGCCTGGCCCCCGTTGTATGCTGGGAGTTTCATAGAGCTCGTGGGAACTCTCCACTCAGTGGCTTCCTCGGTGGGGGTGCTGCAGAGGCTTTGCCAGGATGGTGAAGTTGAGGAGGGTGTCTCAGAATAGGGTCTGCTGACGCCTGATTCAGAGACACCAGGGAACTTGCTTCTAATGCAGATGCCCAGACCTCAACCCAGACCTGAATTGGGACCTCTGAGGCCAAGGGCTGAGAATCTACTCTGTATATAAGTGGCTCCAGGGATCCTGAGCTCTCCCTGAAGTCTGAGACCCTGGGCCATGCAACAGGCATGGGTGTCAGACAGACCTGGGCTCCAGTCCCAGCTCCAGCCCTCATCCTTGACCTGGCTGAAGCCCTCAAAGCCTCCAGTCCCTTGATAATAAAGTGGGAATAATCGTAACAACTACCTTAGAGTCTTACAAAGGGCTTGAGTTAGTCAATGCCTAAAAAACCCTCAGCTCAGCAGGAAGCATTCAGCAAACATTAATGACATTAATGGGCACCATTACCCCAGGCCATGCAGACTAGAACAGCCCATCCCTCAAGTGTCCCAACAGACCCACTGGGAGGAGGGTTCTGCTCTCGACTTCTACCGGCCAGTGGCAAAGGTCCACTGGCTGCTAGGTCTCCTCGAGTACCAATTTGGGAGGCTAGAGAAAAGAGGGAAGGAGGTTGAGGATCACTGGCCTCAGGGCAGCCCTTACCTGTGCCCACCATTGTGGCCTCCCAACCTCCCACCCCAGCTTGACCAGTGGAAGTTCTAGAGCCCTCCCCAAAGGTGTGGCTTCTGACCTGAATCCATGCCTGCCCACTCTGCCCCCATGGGTGGCTTGGGACTGCCTCCGGAATACGCTCCAGCCTTCACCACAGGGCCACTGCTATTGACCACATTCAGGCTCCGACACCTCTCGCTGTACCATTCCAACAACAACCTCAGTGGTCTCTGAGCCTCCCATCTCTCCCTGCCAGTCCAAACACCTCACCTGCCTGCTCTACATGCAGGTCTGCTAGTGTCACTCTTTAACTTGAAAACCACCGACCACTCTCCACTCTGCTAAATTAAGTACAGCTCTGGCATTCAAGGCCCGCCACCAAAGGCCACTGTGGGCACCTCAGGTTTCATTTCCCATTTCCCCCAAGTAGGGTTCCTTGGTCAACAGGTCCTCCCTGGGCCCTTCCAGCCTGCACAGAGAAGCAAGATAAGTCAGCCTTGTCCCTGTCTTTGGGGTCCTTCCTCCATTTGGGGGGAACCACTACAGTTAATGAGCTAATTCTACAAGAAAGTATGGTATGGGACCAGGGGTTTCTGGGGACAAAGGAAGTTCAGAAGGGAAGCCCTTGGTGGTTCAGCCCTCTGGGCAGGGAAAACCAGGTTTCCCCAGGAAGATAAACCCAGCCTGTAATGCAGTGCCCACGAAGTGTCCCCTGCCAGGCTGGCACATCACACACATGCCTTGGAGTCACGTAGCCCTGCTCACCTGTGTCCTCAGACCTGTCTCGGCCTGTTTGTAACTCTGAAAGTGTAGTAAAAATACCTAACTTGTAGGGTTCTTTTTTTAGAGCCTGGGTAGCCACCAAAGGTTTTGAATAGGGGACACTCTGACAACCAGTAAGAGACACCAGAGAGCATAGCCCCCAAGGGCCTCCCCGCTCTGAGAATCAGGCCCTCAGACTCCTCAGGCTAAAGTCTCAAGAAGCCCCGCCCAAATCAAAGGAGGGGAAGGGCAGGGGACCCCCAGTGCTTAAGGGCAGAGAGGTGAACCGAAGGCTCCACTGGGGGAGGCCTCTGTGCTGTATTCCAGCGCCAGGCAGAGGAGTCAGAACCTCCCTGCTGGGACCCAGCCAGCCCTGGCAGCTGCTTGTCTCCTGTAGGGCAAAGGGGAGTGTGAACTAAGGCGGGGTGGGGGTGTGGGGAGGTGTTCCCCAGTATGACTTTTATGCTGTTCCCTCAGCCAGGCTCAGCTGCACTGACACCAGGACCTCCACACCATCCTCCCAAAGAGCAAGATGGTTCGTTCTTGGACCCTGTGGAGAAGGCAGTGCAGAAAGGCAGGAAGACAGGCTGTGGGAGGAGCGCTGCAGAGGGCCAAAGCTGCCTCTGGGGGACCCAGTTTTTTCACCTACCAAACTGGGCAGATGCCCACCCAGCTTTTGAATGCCCTCAAAAAGGTCAAGATTGTAGATCTCCATACCACCACAACCACCAGAGGCCTGAGGAGAATGGGGAAGGGAGACAGTGCCTTCACAAGAACCTGGTTGGAGTTCTGTGAATTTGAGCCAGTCTTTTTCCATCGTAAGCCTCTCTTTTCTCATTTGTAAGATGGACTTAAATGCTGCCCTTCCTTTTTCCAGGGCCATTTTGTGCTTAGAATAGTAGAGAGAACCAGGTTCTGACAGTAGTGGCTGGTAACACTGAGCAGGCGCGTGTTTCTGAGTCTCAGTTTGCTCATCCAAAAAGGGGAAAGGGCCCTGGCCGGTTTGGCTCAGCAGTTAGAGCGTCGGCCTGCGGTCCAGAGAGACCCGGGTTCAGGTCCCGCTAGGGGCACGTGCCTCGGTTGCAGCTTGTCCCCAGCCCTGGTTGGGTTCTGTGGGTGGCAGCCACTCAATGTGTCCCTTTCACCTTGGTGTTTCTCTCTCTCTCCCTCCTACTCTATCTGAACAAGATATGGAAGAATATCCTCAGGTGAGGATTAAAACAAAAGGGGAGGGGGGAGCTCCCTTTCAGAAAAGTTATGAGAATTCCATGAGATTGTGTGTACAGCTCACTGCAAGGTCCTCCTGGCCCAGCCGTTCCCTCCTACCCTAAGCCATGCCCCACACTCTTCAGCTCATGCCCTTCCTGCACCTCAAACACCCTTCTCCAGTTGCTGAAACACTCTCCTCCTGCTCACCTTTCAAGGCCTAATTCATGCAACCCTTCAACCCCCCACCCCCATGAAATTGTTCTAATTCCACCTCACAAACAAGAGAGGCCCTCTCCTTCCTTTGAGTGAATCCCTTCTTGATGGATCCTTCCTCTGACACTGGGCCAGCTCATTTGTACTACAGTTATTTGTAGGCATGTCTAATGCCCCTAACAACACTCCTCGAGAGTTCCTTGTGGGCAGGTCACACTCACTGTTTTTACTCATCTCGGGATTTCCCGGGGAGTGCCAAGCACAGACCTGGGATGAGGTGGATCTTACAGAGAAATCCACAGGCCATGGCAAGGACCTTGGACTTTGTTCTGAATAATGGGGGGGGGGGGGGCATTGGACAGTTTTAAAACAGAGTGACACGATCTGACTTATGTATGTTTGGATGCCAGGTAGGTCCCCTGCCTAGAAAATCACTTCCTCCATCTGCTGTCCCAGCCAAACATTGCAGAGTCAGCACACAATTCTCATTACAGCCCAGTGACCATTAAAATGCATACAAATATCTCAATTTAAAAAATTTTTAAATAAGAATAAAATTTTAAATGCAACTTTATTCTGGGAAAGATCAAAAGGGATAAGACAGAGTGAAGTGGCCAGTTTTTCTAAGCCAAATCCACACAGCTGAACTTAGCAATGCCCCGCCTTTTCACTCATAGAGTCCTTCTGGGTGCTGAGAGGAGCTTGGGGGCTGGCCCGACAGCACTGGTTCCATCTGCCTCCTCTGGCCTGTCTTCACAGCCTCCTCCCTGCACTAAAGCCCAGGGCTGCAGAGCGGCCTCTCCTTGGACCTGCACTGAGCCCTTGAGGGACTGGAAGAGACTATTGGGACCATGGTTGGACTAAAGCCTTCAGAGATGCCTCCCACAACAGCTGTGAAGTTCCTGGGGGCGGGCACAGCGGCCTGTTTTGCTGACCTCCTCACCTTTCCACTGGACACAGCCAAGGTCCGCCTGCAGGTAGGTGCCCTTTGGCCAAGGGTCATTATCCGCATCAAAGGAAGGACTGAGTTCTCTACCACAGCATCTGAACCGTCTACCAGCAAGCTCCTCACACAGAACCCTGAGCAGGCCACTCACCCCACTGTTTATGACTCTGCCTTGCCGCCTCCCCACCACGGTGATCATCACCCAAGACAAAACTACCTTAATTCCTTGGCATGACGTGACTGGGCCCTTCATGGCCTAGCCCTACTTTGTAAACCATAAAGAGTGAAGTAAAGTAAGGAATTACTGGGTGACCTTGAGCAACCCACTGACCACTGTAGTGGGAAAAACAGTCTGTCCCCGCCTTTGCTCTAAGAATCAAACGCTGCACCATGTCTGACAGCTTGTGAGCTATAAACTGCTGCACAAACCTGTCATTCTTACTGGGATGTGACAGCTATGGTCATGCTTGTTCTCGAAGTACAACCCCAGGCAGGTCCCTCTGAACACAGCCCCATCCACCCCGACCAAGCTCCTCACGCCTCTGCGGTGCATGTCCCTCAGATCCAGGGGGAGAACCAAGTGGCCCAGAGCGTCCAGTACCGTGGTGTGCTGGGCACCATCCTGACCATGGTGCGCACCGAGGGTCCCCGCAGCCTCTACAATGGGCTAGTCGCTGGCCTGCAGCGCCAGATGAGCTTCGCCTCCATCCGCATCGGCCTCTACGACTCTGTCAAGCAGTTCTACACCCCCAAAGGATCAGACCGTGAGTGCCCAGTATCCCGTAGACACCGTCGTGTGTGTCCAGAGACCAGGCAGTGTAGACTCAGAGGCAGGGCTGGGGGGTGGGGAGCTGGAAACAGGAGCTCAGGAGGAGACTCAGAGCCCCATCAAGAAAGTTCCAGCCTATGCAGGTGTGGCTCACTGGTTGAGCATCAACCCATGCACCAAGAGGTCACTGGTTCGATTCCCGGTCAGGGCACATGCCCAGGTTGTGGGCCAAATCCCCAGTCAGGGGGTATGCAGGAGGCAGCCAATCATTGTTCTCCTTATCGGTGTTTTTTTTTATCCTCACCGGAGGACATTTTTGCATTTATCTTCAGATAGAGCAGGACGGAGAGAGGGAGAAAGAGAGAGAGAAACATCGATGTGAGAGAAACACATTGACCGGTTGCCACCCACACGACCCCAGCCAGGGCCGGGGACAAACTGCAACCAAGGTACGTGCCGTTAGCGGGAACTGAACCCGGATCTCTCTGGTCTGCAGGCCAATGCTCCAACCGCTGAGCCAAACCGGTCAGGGCTCTCATCAATGTTTCTATCTCTTTCTCCCTTTCCCTTCATCTCTCTCTAAAATCAATAAAGAAAAAAAAATTTTTTTTAAAAGAAAGCTCCAGAACCCTGACCCAGGGGAAGAAGCAGGGCAGCCCTGAAGAGAACAGCATCAGGCCCAGAGAGGTGTCAGGTGATGGGACACGGGCCCACTCTCTCCTTTTTTTTTTTTTTTTTTTTGTGGTACGTGCTCTCCTTTTTCTCAGATGCCAGCATCACCACCCGGATTTTGGCAGGCTGCACCACGGGGGCCATGGCGGTAACCTGTGCCCAGCCCACAGATGTGGTGAAGGTCCGATTTCAGGCCAACATGCACATTGGGAATTACAGCGGGACAATGGATGCTTACAGGACCATCGCCAGGAAGGAAGGGGTCAGAGGCCTGTGGAAAGGTAGGTCTGGACTCCAGTCTCAGGGGCCTTCGGCAGAGCTTTCCCTACCCCAGGGCTGGGGCAGAGAGCCGAACGAGGAGGGAATTCCCAGCATAGTGTATTCCAGTGATTCTGAAAGAACATCCCAACAGAAAACATCTCTTGACCTACCACAGTGCCCCAATTAGTTCAATTTGCCAGCTCTTCACCATGTGCAGGCTATTGAGAGGGGGACAGAAGTGAATAGGCGACACCTTCCATTCCCACACAGAGATGAGATGTGACAAGGAGCAGCCATATCACAGGGCAAGATGTGCTAGGTTCACGCAGAGGTGCAGGTCCAGAGACAGGACGGACGGGCCATGTGGGCTCTGGAGTGAAGGTGACACTAAGCTGGGCCTCAACCACTCAGCTGGCTCTGGGTGTGTGAGGATTGCAGGGGAGGACCTTCCAAGCAAAGGTCTGAGAGGTGACTGCAGGGAGATGCTGTGAGGGGGGAGCTTCCTAGGTGGCAACCTCCACAAACACTGGAGCCTCTCCCACATGGAGACCAGGGGCCCCATGAATCCTTGCAGAAGTAACAGTAACCCAGTGAAGGTTAAGAGCAGGAGACCTGGGTCAGAGCGCTGGCCCTGCACTCACTTGCTCTGGCCCTCCTGGAGGCTGGCCCTCTGTGAAAGCGCCGATTGGTCCTGACGCTCCCCTGGGCCCACCAGCACTGCGCTCCGCACTGTTCCAAGAGCCCCGCCTCCCTCTTCCAAAGAAAGACTTCCTTTTCTAGCTCTAAGCAAGTCTCAGGAGGTATGTGTAAATTTGGTCGATATTGCAGATTATCCTTCCAAATGTAGCCCAAACAAACACAAGTGGGCCTTTCTGTTTTCTGTCTCTAAGAAGGACATGGATAATCTGAGTCGTTAACACTAGGAAATGTGTAACCTCTGTGGTGGCTGGGCTCTCTGAGACCACTGGAACAGGGCACTGTGACCCCCCCAGACACCTGAGGCTTGTGGCCTTGCAGCCAGGGGTCCACTTCTACTCCCCATTTTTTAGCCCTCATCCCATTGTCTAACAGGAACTTTTCCCAACATCACGAGGAATGCCATTGTCAACTGTGCTGAGATGGTGACCTATGACATCATCAAGGAGAAACTGCTGGACTCTCACCTGCTCACAGGTGAGGCCCTGGGCTCCAGGCAGACAACCTTCCCACAGCAGGGAGCAAACCTGGACTCCACAGAGTGGGCACCACCCAGAGGCCGCGGGGCTTTAGAAGGAGCAGAGAGGAGCAACGCCCATGATGACGAGTAGAGAAAAGCTCTGAATAGGGAGGCCGGGGACCAGGGCTCCAGCCCAGCACCACTTCTTAGCATGTGTCTTTAAGCGAGGATCACCTACTTTGACTTCAGTATCCTCTAACAAGGTGGCTGGGCCGGATGACCTTCCAGCTCTGGGACTGCTCAGGTCTGTCTTGCCTGTGCTTACCAGGGGCTCCACCCAGGGCAGTGAGAAGCATGGGAAAGACTATCCTTATGCTCAAGAGGTTCACCGTTTAATCGGGACACATGACACACATGGAATGGAAAGCAAGTACACTCCCCCTCTCACAGCCCCACACATCTTCTTCCTGTCCCTGCACAGACAACTTCCCCTGCCACTTTGTCTCTGCCTTTGGAGCCGGCTTCTGTGCCACAGTGGTGGCCTCCCCAGTGGACGTGGTGAAGACCCGGTATATGAAGGCCTTCCCAGGCCAGTACCGCAGCCCCCTGGACTGTATGCTGAAGATGGTGGCCCGGGAGGGTCCCTCAGCCTTCTATAAGGGGTGAGCCTCCCCCTCCTGCCTCCATGCTCCCTTCCAGAAAACTCAGGCGCTCTCCCCTCTTTGCTCCTCCCTCTCCCTTCCTTCTTCCCTCTCCTTCTTTCTTCTCTCTCTCTCTCTCCCTCCCTTTCTCTCTCTCTCTCTCCCCCTCTCTCCCTTTCTCTCCTTCTCTCTCCTTTTCTCTCTCTCTCTCTCCTTGTCCCTCTCTCCATCTTCCTCCCTTTTTTCCTTTCTTCCTTTCATGTATAATGTACCTACCATGAGTCCCTCTGGGATGCAGTGGTGAACAGCACAGATATAAATGCCACAAAGGAGAGTATCAAGAACAATAGAAGTTTAAAAAAGGAGTGAACCAGCCCTGGCCAGTTTGGCTCAGCGGTTAGAGCGTCGGCCTGCGGTCCAGAGAGATCCAGGTTCGGTTCCCGCTAAGGGCACGTACCTGGGTTGCAGTTTGTCCCCAGCTTTGGTTGGGTCGTTGCGGGTGGCGGTCACTCAATGTGTCCCTTTCACGTCGATGTTTCTCTCTCTCTCTCTCTCTCTCTTCCTCTCTCTCCCTCCCTCCCGCTCTGTCTGAACAAAAAATGAAAAAATGTCCTCTGGTAAGGATAAAAAAAAAAGAAAGAAAGAAAAAGGAGTGAACCAAATCTAATTTGGAGTCAGGACAAACTTATCTGAGAAAAGGGAGTCTAGGCATAGATCAAAGTGCTGTCCCCAAACTTACCGGGTGGGGAGGTGGGAAGGGTGTTTGGAAATCCTGAGGCTTTGCCCAGCCCACTGCCACAGCTGTGGATCACCACTGATAGGGCCCAAAGTGTGTCACGTTTGCTTGCTTCTGTTTCTGGGCATTTACCATTCCCTCTGCATGGAATGCTTTTCCCATGCCATCTACACGCTCTAAATCTTTTTGTTTTTTAGATTTTTTAAAAATTTTCAATTACAGTTGATGTATAATATTATATTAGTTTCAGGTGTACAGCCCCATGATTAGACATTTATATAACTTAGGAAGTGATCATCCCAATAAGTCTAATAGCCACCTGGCACCATACATGGATATTACAATATTATTGACTATAGTCCCTAGGGGGTAATTACATCCCCATGACTATTCTGTAACTACCAGTTTATACTTAATCCCTTCACCCTTGTTACCCATCCCCTCAACCCCTCTGGCAACTGTCAAATGTGCATGCTCTAAATCTCAGCTGTCCTTCAAGACTAGTTCAAATACTGCCTCCTCCCCAACACTCTCAAGTACCCTGTGAGCTTCAGCAACACTTCCTTGATACCATGTGTATGGTATTTACCATCTCCTACTTTGTGTTATAGTATTGTAAGCTTAAATTACCCGCCATGCTAGAATGCAAGCTCTTTGAAGCCAAGGACTGGTGGGTTATACACTTTCCACCGTCCAGAGTCCCAAGCACCAAGCCAGCACTCAATGCATAGGTTATTACCAATCATCATGATCACTAAGTCACTGATACTGGGCCTTGTGCTAAGCACTTTATGTACATTATCTCAACAACCCCCTGAACTGGGCAGTATTCTCCACATTCATTGAGGAAGAGACTCATAAATATTAAGTAACTTGTCCAAAATCACAAAGTTAAAATGACAGAGCCATGGCTTGAACCCAGACCATTGGACTTCACCTAACATGGTCACTGCACCGCTAAGCTCTTTTCTTGGCCCTCTCACCTTCCACCACTGATGCTGGCTTTCTGGAGCCCAGTGTTAGATTGAACTCAACAAGCAAACAGGTTCTCACCCCTGGGAATGACATCATCAGTCTGTGTTTCCACTGACAGACTGTTCTTTTCCCCTAAGTGCCTCTATCATTGCAACCTTCCGCTGTAGCCACTCGTCTCTGTTTATTATCTTACTTGGGAAACATTTGCTTTGCTTCTCATGGGAACCAGACCTTGTGCTATGCTTCCCTCATAGAGCAGCAAATAAATGAGTGACATCTTCTGAGCATTTTCTGATACTGGGCCTTGTGTTCTGTGCTGTGTGTTAACTCATTTATTTATTTATTTTAATTTTTTTATCCTCACCCAAGGACATTTTTCCATATTTTTGTTCAGATAGAATAGGAAGGAGAGAGAGAGAGAGAGAAACATCAACATGAAAGGGACACATCGTGTGGCTGCCACCAGTACGACCCCACCAGGGCCGGGGACAAACTGCAACCAAGATATATGCCCTTAGCGTGAACGAACCCCGGTCTAGGCCGACACTCTAACCACTGAGCAAAAACGGCCAGGGCTGTATTAACTCATTTAATCCTCATGACAACTCTGTGAGGTAGATGCCGTTACTGTCCTCCTTTTACAGGTAAGGAAACTGAGGCTCAGCAAGATTAACTTGACCAAGGTCATGAAGCTAAAAACTGGTAGAGCGAGGATTTAAAACCAGGTCTGACTCCAGAGTTCACGTTCATCGCCGCAGTGCTATGCTCCCTGTGAGGGGCCTAGGCTGAGGGTTCAGGAGAGGCTTTGGCGTGAGGTTATAGTGCCCAAGCCGATTCCTACAGAGCCATTAGCAACCAGCCAGGCAAGAGAATGGGGCACTTTCCGGGCAGAAGGAGCAACATGGGCAAAGGCATGGAAAGAGGGGTCTGGCAGGAGCAGAGAGAACCGGCAGGGATTAGCGAGAGAGGCTGAAGAGGGGGGCAGGGACCAGGTCACAGGCTTCCCCCTGAGTCTGTGAAGCACAGCTGAGGAGAGGACATGACAGGCAGGCTCTCTGGTGTTATACTGTCTTCGTCCTGTGTGTCCCAGCTTCTCAGTGCCCCAGCAGGCGTGTCATCGGGGCAGAGGGAGTCAGGTGGTTTTAGTAGAGCTATTTAACCTCCCTGGGCCTCAGTTTCTGAAGAAGACAACTGGCAACAACCAGCTACCTTATAGAACCTGTGAGAATAACTACTTGAAATAGTAGCCTGGCTAAAAATGTTAGTTTTCTTTCCTTTCCTTCTGCCTATATTCTTTAAACAGAGAAGAAGACTGAACGGATCTTAGAAAGTGCTCATGACTACACAGTCTAGATGCGTTGGCATGGACACTGTGATGGGGAGAGCACACTAGATCTCTTTGGGAACTTAATTCACTCTGCCTGATGTTTTGTTTCTCTCATCAGATTTACACCCTCCTTTCTGCGACTGGGAATCTGGAACGTGCTGATGTTCGTAACCTACGAGCAGCTGAAACGGGCCTTGATGAAAGTCCAGGTGCTACGAGAATCTCCATTTTGAATAGGTCAGGCCACTTGGGACATAACTGGAACAAAGCCAGTTATGAATGGAATAAACAGTGGGTCCACACGCACAGGGACACAGATCCACACATGTTTACAGAACTGTTTACTTGCTGCTGACTCAAGAAACAGGAGAAGAGGAGGAAGGAGTCTGGTCTTCAGTGCATTGTTTAAAGAACTATTTGTTTTGCACTGACAAGATGAAAAATAAATTATATTAATTTTTGAAACCCATTAAGTTGGATGCCTAACATTTAGGCAAAAGAAAATAAACCAAACCAGATCCATTTGGATAAAAATGGAAGATTGTCAACTGAAAGATCTGATTAGACAATGAAAGAAAAGACGGGCAAGCACTGGCCGGGGGTGGCACGTGATAACTTGGCAATCGGCTAAGGGGGCTAGTGGGACACAGCAACACAGCACAAAGCTGTGACTGCAGCCCCTGAGCAACCATGGACCACCAGCCACCCGTGTGACGTGTCTGCTGGGTAGAATCCATTGGAATTCCAGGAAATGTGAGAAAAAGAAAACCTGGAATTTGTGCCAAAGGAGCATTGCTGGGCCAGTGTGAGGCTGAGACTCATAATTAGTCCCTGACGACACTGGAGAATCCAGAGGGCAGCCTCAGTCTCCTTTCCTATCAAATGGAAGTACAAACCCCATCCCTGCTACTTCTCCAGGGTATCGTGAGGATCAAGTGGAAAGCTGGACACAAAAGCACTTTATAAAAGCAAAAATTCTGTACAAATGTAAAAATAAGGACATGGTCTTGGGAAATGTTTTATCAGGACAGTGAGGAAATACCAGGGAAGTTTTTGAAAGATGGTTGACTGGAGCTGCAGCCAAAGGAACCAGAGACTCATGGGCCAGGAGGGACAGAGGATGACATGTGGCCACGGGACCCCCACTCCCATGCAGCCACCATTCCCTGACTGGACTGGGAGGCACCTTGAAGAGTGTGGGGCTTGGGGGAAAAGAGGTAAATGATGGAGTTGAGAGCCTAAAGTAGCAGGACTCAAGAATTTTTGGAAAATTAGTATGACTTAATAAAGGAATTCACACACCTAGGTGTTGGAATGAGAACAGCCACTTTTCTGCCTTCTCTTTCTTGGACAGAATCTCCCTTTTCACTTCGGACTTCCTGTTTGTAAGGGTTGGGCCACATCCGGCCCCACCTGCCCACACTGCCTGCTGCCCTCTCCCGCAGGCTGGCTGCTCTGCCTTTTCCGGCTTCAGCTTCTCCATCTGTAAAAGGCGGGGTTGAACCAGATGACCTCCTTCTGAATTTAAGACTAGAATTTAAGACTGAATTTAAGACTAGGTTGATATTGGGGAACCAGAATGCCTGTCATTTTCTGCTTCTTAGCAGCCTGTGTGGCTTTGATGACAGAACTGAGTTCAAATCTCACCCATCCACACCTCACTTGCAGCCTAACCACCAGGAATCCTGGCACCTGTGTCCTACCAGAGACGTGGTAACAATCCCCACCTCACAGGAATGTTCAGCAAAGTCATCCCTCCTTCTCCAAACTGACTCCTCCTTACCCGGGGAAAAAGTGAATATTCACTTACACTCAGCACTTTCCTAAATTTAAATTATAATTTGAGATCATCTATATATACAATCTGGAAAATCCAAACAAAAGCAAAAAAATAAAAATGATCAATTTAGTGTCTAGTTTGGCTTTCAAATAAAATTCATGTTTAAAATTTTCTCTTCCTGCCCTGACAGAGTAGCTCAGTTGGTTAGAGCATCATCCCAATACTCCAAGATACGGTTTCGATCCCTGGTCAGGGCACATACAAGAATCAGTCAATTAATGCTTAAATAAGTGGAACAACAAATTGGTCTCTCTCTCTCTCTCTCTCTCTCTTCAACTCAATCAGTCAATCAATAAAATAAAATTTTCTCTTGCTTTTAACTTGACTGATATGTACAATTAAGTGTGTATCTGTGAGTGTTTTCATAGGGATGAAGAGAGGAGCTGGTCGGGCAAATATCTGAAGAAGAGAGTTCCAGAAAAAGAGAACAGGCAGTCCACAGGCCCTATGAGAATGAGCTTGGCATGTTCAAAGAACAGAGAGAAGGCCCGTGTGTCTGGTGTAAAGTGAATGAGAAGACAAACATGAGAATTCATTTATTCATTCACCGATTATGTAAGAATTGTGCCAAAGGCTGAGAAGTCAGAGGACAGCCAATTATTGGTAAAGTTTGGCAGAGAAAGGAAGGAGAGAAAAAAAATAACCAATGTAAAAGGGGTAGGAAAGTCTCGCAAGTTCCACTCACACACACACACACACACACACACACACACACACACGAATGAAGGACAATTGAAGATGAGGATGAAAGACTGCAAAAGTAAGGTTCTAGAGAAAACAGAAGACCACAAAATAGTGGGTATAAGTGAGATGAACCACCCTAGAAAGGATATGAGAAACTTAGAAATAAAAGAGAGTCATACAGGCAAAATTTTTGAAATGAAGAGAAGCAAAATGAAGGTGTTCTCCAATCCTTTCATTGAAATTTGAAGAATGGCCCTGGCCGGTTTGGCTCGGCGGTTAGAGCGTCGGTCTGCAGTCCCGAGAGATCCGGGTTCGGTTCCCGCTAAGGGCATGTACCTCGGTTGCAGTTTGTCCCCGGCTCTGGTTGGGTCGTGCAAGTGGCAGCCACTAGATGTGTCCCTTTCACATCGATGTCTCTCTCTCTCTCTCTCTCTCTCTCTCTCTCTCTCTCTCCCTCCCTCCCTCCCTCCCACTCTATCTGAATAAAAAATGGAAAAATGTCCTCGATGAGGATAAAAAATAAATAAATTTGAAGAATTGTCACATATGAGAGTAGGTTAGTGGACCTCTTATTTATAAGAGAGATGATTTTAAAAGCTCTTTTTTTCCTTCAAATATAATTTAATGAAGAAACTTAAATCCTCTGATGCACCCCTGACACTTCTCTGTTCTCTGCCATGCTGAGCTGTCTGGAGCCCTCTCCATAAGGCAGCCCAGGGATTCTAAAGCATATAGAGTGAGGCCTCTAGGAGGCTCCCCACAGCTGTTCCAGGACTCACACCAGAGCATGGAGTTCCGCATTGGGCAGAGCCACCCGTGGAGCAAGCTGCCTGCCAACACGCCACAGGGTCTTAGAAATTCACAGAGAAGATATGCAAAGCAGGATGTGTCCTCTATATATCCACAGTCAGTTATGATACAGAAACATACCTTAATCATGTCACAAAAGATTAATGCAAATACTTTGAGGAACTATTACAGTCAAGATTATGTATGCTGTACCATTACCATTTATTGCTATTATGGTAAAGGGCCTGAGGATATCACCATTCTTGTATTATACTGAGATTACAGAGGACATTATGAACAATGAGAAAATTTGTGCTTAACTGCCTGTTTTTGGAGGGCTAAGTTTTCTTGGCATAAAAAGGTAGGAGTACGCCTTGGCCAGTTTGGCTCAGCGGTTAGAGCGTCGGCCTGCGGTCCGAAGAGACCCGGGTTCGGTTCCCGCTAAGGGCACGTACTTCAGTTGCAGTTTGTCCCTGGCCCTGGTTGGTCGTGCGGGTGGCAGCCACTCGATGTGTCCCTTTCACGTCGATGTTTCTCTCTATCTCCTTTCCTCTCTCTCCCTCCCACTCTATCTGTACAAAAATAAAATAAAATAAAATAAAATAAATAAATAAATAAAAGGTAGGAGTACATTGATATTATAAATCAGTGTAGATTATCAAATTTTTTTTGAAATTTGAAGAGTGTTCACATATGGTGTGTCCATTTGAAGAATGCTCACATCATCTACTAATAATGCCAGTGGAAATTGCCCCAGAGACATGGTGGGTGGTGAAGTCTGGTCAGATCACAAAAGTGACATAAATTATGCAGAAATATCATGTAGATAAGAGCACCAATTTAGATCCTCAACTTCCTAGATCACTAGATTACAATGTGATACATAGTTTATATAACAAATAATTTTGTATTTGAATGTATCAATATCTAATGACCATTTTATTCTCTTGAAGATTTTGTGATGAATTGAGTGCAAGATGACTAGAAGATGAAACTTTCAAACTCTATATGTCTTTCAATAGTTGAGCACACTAATGTTGCAGAGCTTGCAAATGTCCTTGACATAGACTTTCCCTTGTTCAGAACAGTGTTTTGCCCTGGCCGGCTTGGCTCAGCTGTTAGAGCATCAGCCTGCGGTCCAGAGAGACCCACTAAGGGCGTGTACCTCGGTTGCAGTTTGTCCCTGGCCCTGGTTGGTCGTGCGGGTGGCAGCCACTAGATGTGTCCCTTTCACGTCGATAGCTCTCTCTCTCTCTTCTTCTCTCTCCCTCCCACTCCATCTGAACAAAAAATGGAAAAATGTCCTTGAGTGAGGATAAAAAATAATAATAATAAAATAACAGTGTTTCTATGTATTGCTGATTGGGCTTTGCCAATAAGAAGACAGGGCCTGCCCTGGCCGGGTGGTTCAGTTGGTTGGAGAGCTGTCCCCTACACCAAAAGGTTTTGGGTTCAATTCCCAGTCAGGGTGCATATGGAGGTTGCGAGTTTGACCCCCAATTGGGGCATGTAAGGGAGGCAACAGGTCAATGTTTCTCTCTCTCTCCCTCTCTCAAATCAACAAAAATATATCCTCGGTTGACAATTAAAAATAAAAAGGCAGCTGGTGGTCTCGAGGGGTGGCACCTGTGCTGCCCACTCCCCACTGTCCACTGCTCATCAGTGCATCGGCCAGGCAGGCAGCCCTGGCGCCATGAAGCTGTACAGCCTGAGCGTCCTCTACAAGGGTGACCCCAAGGTGCTGCCGCTCAGGGCCGCCAAGAAGTGTGGACCTTCAGCTTCTTCCAGAGGACCAGTGTTCAGGAATTCATGACCTTCACAAGTCAGCTGGTTGTGGAACGCTCAGCAAAAGGCAGCAGAGCTTCTGTCAAAGAGCAAGGGTATCTGTGCCCCGTCTACGTGCAAAATGACAGTCTTTTTTTTTTTTTTTTTTATCCTCACCCGAGGACACTTTTCCATTTTCTGTTCAGATAGAGTGGGAGGGAGAGAGAGGAAGAGAGAGAGAGAGAAACATCGACGTGAAAGGGACACATCGAGTGGCTGCCACCCGCACGACCAACCAGGGCCGGATACAAACTGCAACCGAGGCACATGCCCTTAGGGGAACCGAACCCGGGTCTCTCTGGACCGCAGGCCGACGCTCCAACCGCTGAGCCAAACCGGCCAGGGCCGAAATGACAGTCTTGAAGGAGTGGTCATTGCTGACAGGGAGTACCTGTCCCGGGTGGCTTTCCCCTTGCTGGAGAAGGTGCTGGACGATATCTCAAGCAGATTGACAGTATCGACTGGCCAGTCAGATCCCCTGCTAGTATCCACTACACAGCCCTGGACAGCTACCTTAGTATATACCAGAATCCCCCAGAAGCTGACCACGTGAGTAAAGTGCAGGTTGAACTAGATGAGACCACGATCATCCTGCACAACAGCATGGAGTCCTCGTTAGAACAAGGCAAGAAGATAGACAACCTAGTGTCCAAATTTGAAGTGCTGGAAATTCAGTCTAAAGCCTTCTACAAAACAGCTGTAAACAAAACTCTATTTGAGAGTCCGAAGAGGCCATTGCTGCTGAGTCCCCGCCTCCACATCGGAACCAGCTCCTGGAGAACTTAGCAGCCATGTAAAGACCAGAGTATGGGCACTCATTGTTCACTTCAGAGCTTCTGGGAGGAGCCGAGGGCTGATAGAAGGGACCTGGGATGGGGAATGTTCGAATTTACGTGTCTAGTAATTTTTGAAAAGATAATCTGAGCTCTCAGAAGTGTATTTTTGGGACAAATGAAACCATGAACATTCCGTGACTCCTGCAGATACCAAAGGGCTCATTTCTAACCCTGACAACCCCTGGGGTCAGAGCCAACTCTGTGTTGATCCTCAGCAGCCTTTGGGTTTTACTTGTACATTAACTATGTTAATACTTCAGTAAGGCAGTGGGGTATGTGTGTGTGTGTGTCTCAATCCATGGGGCTGGGGGCGGTGGGTAGAGCCACACTGTTCTCCTGGGAAAGCCACCTAGGGTCACTGGGGGGGGGGGGGGACAAGCCAGTGGGTCAGGGCTAAGGCCGTGATGAGACAGTCACTGGGATTCACAAATTCTGAGACATTGTTTGCATCTCCGCTGAGGTTGACTTCCAGAGTTCTATAAAGAGGTGTAGAGGTGTTTGGAAGGGGCAGGACATCTTCCTACCTGCAGTTTGGCTTTGAACCTCTGGATCACAGGCTGTGCCTCTCTGGCAACAAGACTGTTTGGCCACCACCTGTGACTTGCGTGTCTTAGCAAGTGAACTTTCCTGTGGCCACTGTTACTGGGCACCAAGAGTAGGTGCCTGCCGACCCAAGGACTCCCAACACCTCACTAGTCTGAGCACACACCCCTGCCCCCATCCCGCCTAATCTTCAGCAGCAGGAAAACAGGCTGCACAGCAGCCCAGGCGGTGGTCCAGCAGGTTTCAGGCCCCTTGGCCTACCCAGTCCCTTGGTCACACTGCCCTGTTCCTTGTACTCTGCTGTGCCACCTGAGGACAGGAGGCACCCTTGGGACCAGTCCCCATGAAAGTTCTTGCTGTGTCAACCAGTGTGGTCTCCTCTGTGGAGGCCCTTCCCTGAGCATTCTGGTTCTTGCCCCGCAGGAAGTTC